TCTCTCTCTCTCTCTCTCTCTCTCACTCACTCACTCACTCACTCACTCACTCACTCACTCACTCACTCACTCACTCTCTCTCTCTCTTTCTCTCTCTCTCCTTTCCTAATGATGATTTTTAATTTAGTAGATTTGTCCCGCTGAAAAATTAAATTCCAATTTTTTCCTTATTCTCACTCGAGATGGCGAGCATCACGCGACCGCATTAAGACCTTATCGCGGAGTCGCATCTCTTTTTGACGCGTTCACGAGGCCTCAGAACCGGTCAGCGCCTGATGCAGTTGCACGAGCAACGCTGAAGGTTACTACACTCTCGCGGCGGTCGATCACACTTAGAATCGCTGCATCGGGCTCGAATAATGCCGCTGAACATATTAATCCGTCGTCGTGTATGTGTGGGGCTTGCATCGATAGAAATAAGATGTCACATGTAGATGCAATCTCTATGGTAATGTGTTGCGCGCAGAATAAATTGTTTCCAACTTTGCAATTGCGCGCATTGCGTAAATAGCTCAGGTAGTTTTATCTTTTCATCAAAATCTTGATAAAAAGTATCGTTCAGATATTGTAAGAATCGATATATTTTGTGGGGGAATGTAATTTAAGTAGCACTGCATGAATCATGAGACAATTAATTTTTGGGTGAAATTATCACCCAAATAACATTTATTTGTAATTATCATTACATGCAACACAAAAAATAGAAGATTGCGAGTTTACGAGCTGTAAGTAAGCCGGCCAATTATCGCAAGTTGGCTTGGTACCATCCGATGGTAACTCGGTAACTATGTGTTACCATTAAAGGTAATACTTAGCATCCTCCGCGCACGATCACATCTTTGGGGACATACATACAATTTGAGTCTGTCAGGTCTGGGCAGATTTGAACTATACTGTAACATTGTAGAAAATCAATATTTTTCGATACATTTATTTCCAGAGATATAGAAGATCTTTGCTATAAAATGGTAGCGCGATAAAATCGAAAACTGATATCGAAATAGATTTGCGCTATGTTGAAATTTTTCCAGACACTTTACAAAAATTGAGCAATGGAATATTTGTTCGGGTCTCACAGACCCAACGTTATATGCGGAGAATCAAGTTACGAAGAAACTTGCGGAAGCTTACTAAACTGTCACATCATTCAAGGACTTTGGGTTAATATCAAAAGCTCAGACAATTTAGTTTACATGTCCCGAATAATTCGTACGAATCACCATTACTCGGAAACCTAATAGCGAAACAAGGCCGATTAGCTCACCCCGATGGAACATTATTATTTCATAGTTATTATTGCATATGCCGCGTCAACATTGCGTTTATAGGTCAGTGAATGTAACAGGAGAAATGCAACGTTCTGTGAGAGAACAAAAATTCCGGGGGCGTTGAGGCGAAATTATCGACCACGAATGATAACGAGTGCGCAATCGTTACTTTTTTTTCGCTCCACACGCGATCGGTCCATAAGTATTTATAAATAATCCGTCGTCATTTATGTTATTCGAAAGAAAAAACGAATTGCGACCTCATGAATCACGGATTGCGCAATATTTATCTGTAACGAACTTTCGTCGTCCGACGCGACGCGTAATGAATGTTCATTACGACCGTAACGAGCGACGTGTTAAATTATAAGACCATTAATTAAAGAAGAAGGACACGATTTTGTTATTACAATAAGAGACGAATTAAATTTTAAGTCTCTCCTTCTAGCTGTCGTCATTTACGTCACAATCGGATCTACGGAAGACCTTTTCGTTGGAATTTGCAGATATGCGTCGCCGATCCGTGACTCATCCCGCTAGCCGCTAATCAACATTCGCATAGTTTGTACGTCGCACCTGCGTATTGCGCATGCGCCACGTCGCCGTGTCGGCGGTATCGTAAAGACGTCAAAGTTGCGCGGCGCGTCGCAGTACAAGTTCGGTCTTCGTCGCGTGCACGTCGCCAGTGCTTCATCCTAATTAGACGATTCTGTATACAACTAGAGGAGCAACATGGCAGTCTGTAAGTTATACTTTTCGCACGCGATGTATCCTGAAACACGCGCAATGATCTTTTCGTTATTATTTATGTGCATTGAGGCTCTACTTTGTCGAGTCTCACACTGTTCCTTCTATTTACATTTTCTTGCGTAATTTCTGTTACGAGTCATGTGTCCATGTATAGACTCTGTTTCATTATTCATTGCGACCAGGACTCGACAATTTTGGAGCTGAATAGAGATCCTCAATCACAATGACTTTACTAGCACGGTTGCTTAACAATATGGAACAATGTGGACGCGTTGAATCGACGTCACTTCAAAATGACGGAAGAACTTAATACCGCCTAATGTTAAGAAGTTATCTCATGAGACTCTGATTTAATGTGGCTCGTTGATTAGTGGTCAAGCGAGACAGACGACTCTGTGAGATTTGTCTTTCGCTAACCGTGAGTTATTGCCGTCGATGAAACTTGACTGCATTTTATGAACGATCGCGTCTAACAGGGATCTAACGAGACTTGTAGGAGGAAGGGGCAGTTCTTCCATCTTAAGAGAGAGAGAAAGAGAGAGGCCGCGTAGTTTCTTTTCTAGAGGTCCTCTAAATATAGAGATGGGGCGCGGCTGCCGGTTTGACAAGCCGGCACGCTAGCTAGCCGGCCGGCTTGTCTTGAGGAGAGATAAATGCTCTACGACTGCACTTGAATGTTTAAACAACTGTTTAAGAAGACAATTGCTGGACACTCAAGAACTTAACGCCAGAAAATAGATCGCCATAAGCCACGTCGTAGGAAAGCTATTTTTACGTTAGCACATATCCACAATATCTTCTTCGCTTCCTATTTCTTCCTGTTTCTTTACCTCTTTCTGACTTAGATCTTAAGCCTGAAAAAGATAGAGAACAAGAAGCAGAAAGCAAAGAGCACATTGTGAATCAAGTTTCTAAGGGAGACTCCAAATGTCAAGGCCGGATCTATTCATAACAGACATTTGCTTTGCTTCTGCCTCTAAACTTTCAGAGAAAAGACATAACTTAAGGTAACAAAAGAAATCGAAGTTGAAGTATTCGCTGTGAGTGTTTTTCGGGTGACAACAAACACTACTCCATTGACAATATTTGTGTCTGTTAGCGCGTTACCTAAAAACGTTTCTTTTTCGTGTAAATGTTCACGAATGAGTATAATTGTAAAAACTTTCGTAATTTCGTTACAACATCACGAACGCCTGTGAGAATAAATACCGGATAGTTCCCGACGATGAGTCTCTTTCTCTCTCTTTCTCTCCTTCTTTCGCTCGCTCGCTCGGGTATAACAGCCTCGATTTAATCACGTCATAAGAATGCAATCCCTTGTCCTTGTGTAATACGACTTCCAGATTGCGTTTCGCGATACTCGGGGACTCGTTTTCGTGATATTTTTCCGGTTTTTTTCTTTCGTAAATCTTGAAATTCTTGTTTTCTGTAATTAAGTTTTCTTTTTGCATCGCGACGCCTTGGCGCCTCGCGTTTACGATTTATGATGCACTTTGTCCTATCCTTATCTCTTCAAGTTCTTGTCTTATGACGTGATCGACTTTACATATTATCAAACGGAAATCTCGAAAAAAAGAACCAACGATGGACACAACTTCTTCCACTCCCCTTACCATGAAATTAGGGAATTTTACTGGCTTGGATTATACGTAACATTTGTCCGCTGAGCGAATCCTTTCGGTCGCGAAAACTCCTCTTCGAGATCATGCTTGCGCAAAGCTCAAGTCGTCAAGATAAATAAGTATTTTACAGACGCTCAAGGATCATCCTTTCAGACTCGCGCGGACGAAATGCGTTACCTTCCGTTACGCAATCGGGACGGAAAGACGTGCCTGTGAACAGATACGTATCGTTTGAAAAACGATACAATGTCTTTCGCAACAGCCGATGAACAACTCGCAACATATGTAAATGTAAAGCGATTTTTATAATTAAGCGTCGGATTTTTTACGCGTGTTAGATTATCTATACAAGAGAATTTCATATAGTAAAAATTACCGTAAAACTTTGTAATCGAGGAACAGATTAGCATTCTGCAATAATTTATTATCCTTTCGTTTCACATGCTATTTATATGTTTTAGGAACTGAAACGTGTTATTAAAAACTTTACTATGTTTCTCGCAAAATTCGCTATTCCTTTTAGCAAAATAGATTTTATTGGCAATCTATTTCTATATCACTGAAGGCACAGCAAAATTGAAATAGAGTTTATATGAAGAGAAAATATAATGTGTTTTCCGTGCAAATTTCACCGTGAAATTTGTTCGAACTCGGCTCGGTCTAATGGCAGCGAGAAATTCGGCAGAGGAAGAACCTCTGCGGGTCAGCAGGTGGCGCGTTCACGACGCACCAACACCTGTTGACGAATTTCCGTGATCATGGCGGCCAATGTAGGTGCGCGTTCTGCCCGGTCCACCTTGCCGGTTGCAAAGTAACGACAGTTGCTATGCGAGGTCAATGGCAGCGCGCGATGGCGAATGGCTTCGCGAATAGTTCCACGCGTCGCTGCTGAGCCATCGGTCGCGATTTACCGTAGGATTAACTAGCATGCGGCAGTTTTAGCGCAAAGTCGCTCGACCGTTGCGGACATTTTTCTTTCGCACTTTTCTTGCCCGAAACACGCGATCATTATATATTACGTGACTTCATTTCATTCCATTGCGGGTGTCGCGGTCGTCGGAGAGAATCAGGAGCGAGTCGCTTCATTAGAACGTTCCATCGAACGCGCTCACTCCCGCTCGCATACTTGACGAAGAATGTCTTCCAGAAGAATTTCGCGACACAGCAGAAATTCGCTGATACGCGCGTAGATGTGCCGGAACGCGCATCTCCAGCGGTATTCGTCGTTGCGCAATGCGAATTGACTTAATGGCTCTAATTTTCGCATTGTTATGTTAATTGCGAGCGAGAACCACGACCTACATCATAGCAGCTAATCAATTTGCCGCGCTACGAAATTAACGCGATTCGAGCCGCCACCGCGGTCCGGAGAGCTCGAAGGAGACGCTTTTGCGCGATCAGGGAGGGCAAGAAAGAAACTTCCCGAAGTTTCCGACGAGAAAACTCGGCGAGGGAAGATTGCACGCTCGTCGAGTATCGAAACATGACGACAGGCCGCGCGGTTCGAGATAGAACGTGTCTCCTCTTTCGAGATAGAACGCGCCGCCTCTTTCGAGAGGAATCGCAGTCAGCGACGGATGTGTCAGGGTTTTATCGGGCCCCGGTCATTCTCCGAGCGACCGAGCTCTCCGTGACGCGTCGCCTATCGAAGGATTGTCATTCCAACGATCGTTCTGGATCGCAGACGTAGCGTAATGTGAAGTAATTGACGTAGAAATAAGGATGACATCAGCACACGATGGCGTTAGAAGACTCGCCGCGCTCGCCGGTGACCTCGATCTTAGTGTCTCACCGATCATACATTTCGCCGACGTATGCACAAACAACTCCCTTATGCGCGGGGGACTGATATCCAATCCCTTCTTCTTCGTTCACAACGTGTGATGTCAGCAGCGAGGACCGACTCCGTGTACTGCCGGTAGCGCAGGTGACTATTTATAATCGTTACGTGCGTAACGTTCCTGCGCCTCGCGTATCAACCGAAGATATGCAGAATAGAAGACGACGGCCATTAGAACCTGGCGAGAATGTTTTTTTTTTATTGCGCGACCTCGGAATTGATAGTTTGCGATAGGCTTGCGCACGGGCAAGGTGTCGGTTTGTTGTGTCGGTTGTTTTTTAAAACTGCTGCTGCCTCTGCACTGCTAAGCACGAGATAGGTAATTAAGTAGATTTACTCGACTCGTAAAGCTCCTTCAAGTACATGATATAGATACAAATTACAGAGGAGATGGAACCCGTTGAAATACACGATGCAGATACCATAGGAGATGGCGGATAATCGTCAATTATTGATAATTTCGTTATGGGTCAGGGCACGCGAAGTTATTGTCGCCACGAAGCCGTGATCTCACCGAGGCAGAAATAGCCGTTTATTCGACTCTCGCGGAGGATCACGGCGAGGAAATTACATCGCTTATTGAACACGTCACGAAGACGAGGATTTATGACCACGGAACTCGATCAAGTCGGCGATACTGGCTGGTTTGAGCGAGTCTCATTGCTCGCAGTATCGGAACGATTAGCAGTCGATAGCCACGGTGTCGTCCGTACGTCGTTAAGATCGCCCGGGTGCTCGTCGTTACGCGAATATTATCATCGGCGAATATTATAACGGCCGGTGACTCATCCTCTCGTACGCGAATAGACTTCAGGCTCGGTTTTTATGAGGGCGAGTTCGCGTGCGCCACATGTGCCTCGATTGCACCGGATGACCTTTGTGGGCCTGTCATTAAAATATTACGATCGAATCACGGGATGTAACACATGTACTACGTAAGCCGCGTGTTGCGCGATTGCTGATCGCCCGGGATATCGATCGAGTGTCCTGCGCTGTCCTACTTTCGCGTCTATTTCGCGACTCACGCCTTGGCGTCAGGATGTCTCGATTCGCCGGACACCGGCATTCCGTCCTATTTTTCGCGACGTGAAGAACACACCTAGATTGATACTAGAGCGACTCGTCGTCACTGATGCGGGTTGCGACTCGCACTCTGCTGTCGCCAGTAACACGTCGCGCAAGATGCAAAAGCGACGAGGCGAGTTATCGCGTAACAAAGTCCAGCCGACCATTCACGTGGGGCTGTTTGCGTTTCAGCGCTTACCACTCAGGACAAATTGGAGTACAACTTCTACCCGGTGACGGCCGGGCAGATCCAGTTCCGGGTAAAAGCGGCCAACGATGCTCACGTCGCTCTCACGACCGGTCCTCAGGAAGGAGAACCGATGTACGAGGTGAGAGACTTTGTTTCACATTTTTCTAACGTACATTCGAAATATAATTTCCTTATCCTCAGCGGAATTCCTCTGACGAGGAAAGAATTCTTCTAAAATCAGAAGGCGAAAATTGTAAACACAATATTCCTAAAGAGAGATAAGTAAACACATTCCTCTTGATTTCTGAAAAATTAGAATAATATCTAGTAAATTTCCGAATAGTCTACTTCGTTAGAAGAGAAATATATTTTCGGTAAGAGTTTTCGTTTAGAATACAGAAAACAACACCTTACGATTAAAGTTCTTTTTTCAGATGTAGTTTAATATTTTAGTCGCCAGATATATCTTTCCATATGTTCCACGATCAGTTTAAGGAACGCGAGGCTTCTCTTCGTGTCGGCGAATTATAGTACAATTGAATATCGCGTTTTTTCTCCAGGTCTTCATCGGAGGTTGGAGCAACAGCAAGTCGGTTATACGGAAGAACAGGGTCAAGCCGGATGTGGCAGAAATGGAAACACCTGGAATCCTCAACGGAGATGACTATCGTGGCTTTTGGATCAGGTGGGCGCTCGTTTTTAGGCTCATTAGAGAATCATTAAGCCGCGCCCGTGCGTCGTTACCGTCTTAAGTCGAGTCGATCACATGTTTCGCGTTTAATCTTACGAAGTGTACACACACACAGACACGTAGACTTTGTAATACTTATTTAACGTTTGCAAAAATCTTCATCAGCTTTGTAAAATCCGCAGGTGGGACGACGGCAATCTCACGGTGGGCAAGGAGGGCGAGTCGGCTCCGTTCATGTCCTACGCCGATCCGGAACCGTTCGGAATTAGTCACTTCGGCGTCTGCACCGGCTGGGGTGCCACCGGTGATTGGTTGATCGAAGGTAAGCGTTGTAATTGCTTCTTCTTCCTCTTCTCCCAACCGCGATCTGAGGACAAGAGCATTGTCCTCGCGGAACTTCTCGCTTTACTGTGTATACTTAGTGTATACTTAGTGTATACTTTGCCTCTGACACATCTTGTTTCATAGATTGTAATATAGAAAGTACACTGTTTCGCGCTTAGGGGATAGTAAGCGAAGAAAAGACAATTCGTAGAGTAAATCATATCAACTCCCTTAAAAGTTGAGCAAACCTTTTCTCTTCTGTCAGGTATCATCTAGATTGACTTAACTTGACTTTCTGATTTTCCGATGATTTTCTCTCCTTCGGTGTCTCTCTTTAATGCGACGATTCACGGACGATCTGCTAACGCATCGCGACTCGCACAGCCATATGCTGCGGAGGTTTCGGTGGTTGTACGTAATGTATTTTGAAGGCTACACGAAAGAGGTCTTGCATTTAGTCGCACGTGCCGTCCCTTAGGTTCTGCTTGTCTGCCCGAGTATGTTTGACTCCACCCAAGCACGATTTACCTTTCACCACGTGTGGTCGATGCTGGATTAAAGACGCTTATCTTGTAGAATTCATTTCGTCGCAAAGTGGAGCGATACTTGATGAAAATATCGTAGCATTTGATTAATTCAGCATATCGATACGCTGCACGTTCAGATATGATTCGGACTAGTGCTCGGAATTGTGTAATCGAGGCGATTCTCGAGGTCTACATCCTCTTGCCGTTCTAGCATCATCCGTGGGGAGCGTAAATAGATAGGCGTAGCCCTCCAAAATCACCTCGATTATACAATTAGTTGAAGCACTGATTCGGACCAACGTAGCATAATCGATATTTGCCTCACACGTCCATACATCAATTGATATTCAGCGAGAAATTTCGAGTCGATTGCTTTTCACGCTTTTGCCTGATAAAGAGAACATCAAATAAAGTATATAAGAATATGTAAGAAGTGGAAGATTTTTTGTAATATTTATTAGCGGAATATGCTACAATTTAATTTATAAGATATCCCGCGCAACGATTATGCGATCGTCATTTCACATTCGCGCGGTTCATCTCGAGTTTCGCGGCTGATAACTTGGTTTTTTAATTTTTTTTCTTTTTCTCTCTCTTCCTCTCTCTCTCCACATTTGCCAAGGTCACCGCAACTCCTTGAACACCCCTAACAATCTACAGTACCAGTTCCATGCCGTGCCAGGCGGCTCAGTGCTGATCGACGTGAAAGCTAAGAGCAACGGGCACATCGCGCTGACCGGCCGGAAGGGCGAGTCGAGTCCCATGTACGAAATCATGCTCGGAGGGTGGGATAACATGGCGTCCGTTATTAGATATGATCGCAAACAGCCCGACAAGGTTCGAGAAGTGATTTGGTTAATTTCGACGTGCGATCAATGAGTGACAAACGCATTCGGAACTACTCGCTTTGCAACTACCAGCGGGTGTTCCAAATGTGTGACACACGGGAGAAAATACTCGGTTCGTGTAATTGGTTTTCTGTTGTCTGGAGACCGGACGAAAACTGAATTGTAGGAACAGAACAATTTTTAGATAGAAGATTTCTGCACGGAAAGGATTTTACAGCAAAAATTACTATAAAATTTCGTGAACAAGAAATAGATTGCGACACTCTGCTTATCCTTTCATTTTATACGTGCTGTTTACATATTTTAGGGATACTGAAATATGTAATTAAAAAAATTGACTAGATTTCTTAGCAAGATAAATCTTAATATGTTCTTGAACTACTAAATTCGTAATAAAATTAAAAAGAATTTACATGAAAAAAGATATAATATTCTCTCCGTGTATTCAGTCTCAATGATTTCTCTCAACCGAGTTTCAACGCAGCCGAATGTCCAGACGCAGGTTTCTTGTCACTTGGTTTTCATCTGGTACCCATCCCGTTACACGAACCAAGATTCCTTTTCCGTGCAATAAGCGTTTCTCGCGGCAAACCTTCGCACGATCACGTACTCGTTCTCGCTCTCACGTGAAAAAAAAAAACATTTGTATGCGATGTCAGGTACGCGTGGACACGCCGAATCTGCTCAGCGAGCACGAGCACAAGAGGTTCTCGATCACGTGGTTCGAGGGCCTCATCACGGTGAGAACGGGCGGTCAGAACGGTGCTGTCCTCATGAAATGGCATGATCCAAATCCCATCGGCGTGAGCTACGTGGGGGTGCGCACCGGTTGGGGTGCGACCGGGAACTGGAAACTCCGTTTCGAACATTACCCCGCAGTCGCTACTACCGTCGCTAGCGGTCGAAAACGTAATGATTTGCCTAAAAGACAAAACAAAAAAGGGGAAACAAAGCCTCCGTCTCGGCGATCCGAGATCGACGCTGAATGCCTGAGGCAGCTCCCCGGCGCGCGTTTCCATGCAGATCGCGTCGTCGAGCGGCATTGGCCGATCTCGCGGTCGTTGAACGATCGACTTTCTCGCTTGGTTGCGACGTATGCAAATTCTACTGTATGCTCCTCCTCACGCACGGGACTCTTTCCGCAGCTTTCTCGAAAACCTCGCTTGAATTAAACATAGCTTGGGGCTTTGCGAACGTGGACACATCTTTTCCGCTTTCATAACTGGGGGTGTCATTCTCAGCACACGGCTACTATCTAGTCTTCACTCTCTAATCACCCTTTCAATTGGAATGGTATTAACCGCCCAAAGAATTATGCATATGCACTTTTACGCGTTAGTTTGTGTGGCTTGGTGAGATAGATAAGACCGCTTTATTAGTCTCTTGTTTGTCGTTTCAACGTCTTATTTAAGTTGCATCGATATGATTTCTGCTTGTTCGCGCAATCCGTTAAACTGAGAAACACGATCGTAGATCCCGATGCGACACCATCCGCGCCGATGGAAGTCCGCGGAGTCGACGCGGGAAGCGAGTGCTGGTGCGACGCGTCCGGTGGAATGGTGCCACCAGGCGCGGTCGAGGGTGGAAACGACGGTGAGACCTTGTTCGTCGGCAGGGCTCGTCACGAGGGCGCTCTCATTCCCGGCAAAGTGAAGCCCGGCCATTGCGTCTGCTACGTTGCCTGGGGCGGCGCCGAACATGGAAAGACTGATTATCAGGTGAGAACGAGAGAGAATCTTGTGAAAGAATCAATTGAAGACGTACAAAAGATATTGGAGAAATTCAGCGTTTAAGTGATTTCAATGGATTATATCATAAAATGCAAGTTTGCAAAACGTTCCACTCTTTTCTCATAGTCATATTTCTAATTTCTGTGTTGCTTATTTCTTCAGGTTCTTTGCGGGTGCAATCCCGTATGGGTGGCATCGAGCGGCGGCGACATTCCGCAGAACGCAATTCCGGGAGGCGAGACCGAAGACGGCGAGCCGCTCTTCATCGGTCGCGTACACCACGAGGGTACGTTGACGATCGGCAAGGTGCAGCCATCTCACAACGTGTGTTACATACCTTTCGCCGGTTCCGAGGTCGCCTTCCCAGAATACGAAATCTTGGTGTCGCAGTAAATGTCGTCGAGAAACCGTCCGGCTGTGGGGAGAAAATCGATGGAAGCCGCCGGCTTTATCGGCAGTTCTGCGGAAAAGCATGAAAACAATATCAGTCTCGCGACAATATCGTGTAGCTCTGTCATAACGCGACGAAACAAATCCGGACAGAGTATCCGAACTTTCGAAAAAAAATTTGGAAACAGAAGCGAACGATCGAACAATGTGACGTCGACGTTGAACTTGTCAAATTTTCGGTACGTGTCCATTTATTAATTTTATTCGAGCGAATATTGTATCGCGCTCGTAAAATATACGGAAAGAGAGAAGGAGGGAGAGAGGATGAATCTCGAGTGTGCAAACTAGTCTAGTGTACATCGTAAGTCGCGGCTGATGCTGCAGAACTGGCCGATAAGTCGGCGACGCGCTGTTCTGTCGTCGTCTACGCAAGCGTCTGCTTATTCGCACAGAGTATAAATCGCAGTCACGCTATAGGAAGAGAAAATCAAACAGCAAATATATGTAGCTATGCTATGTATGCTATATACATATACATATTCTTAATTGGTAAACGCCGGAAAATGTTACGTTTATCGTCTCTGCCGAGACGATACATCATATATATAATGATGATGATAGCTACAGAGTTTTTCTAACGCACAATACTACATGCTTTGTCAAGAAGTATATTTTCGGATTCTGTATTGTTACAATATAGAAGAACATACAAACAATAGAAAATCTTCCTTATTCTTTGTGGTAACCACATGTACGTATTACTTGCGTCACAATTCTATTCATCAAGCATAATTCATCATTTTCTTTTATAAATTACCATATTGATTTTACGTATGTTTTAAACGCGTTGTGTTTAAATGTTCTTATAATATAACTTTAAAAAATAGATGGAAAAAAGTCACTTTCCACCTCTTAATCAACATCCAAATTAACATTGAATAAATAACATCAGTGGTGTAGCCGGGAGGGAAGGGGGTTGAAGGGGCTGCAGCCCTCCAGCCCCGAAATTAATTTTAATTTTCTGGGTTACGCTGAGTGTGAGAAAAATTTTTTCGAATGATCTTTTCTTTGCTCGTTAAAAATAAAAAGTACAGCCCCTCCCCCTCCGAAGCTTTTTTCTGACAACGCCACTGAGTAACATCACATTAATGTTATAATTTCCCGTTCAACAATATAACTGTTATGATCGGGGACTGAAAGGTTGTTCGTAATTTTTAAAGTAAGTTTGTGAATTCATCCTTCTTGTTCAACGAGAGCATTCTTCCATTGGACAAAATGAGGGAGTTCACACATTCTAAAAATTATGGACAAACTTTTAATTCCTGACTGTACAACGTATGTTATATTGCACTTACATTGTTGAATGGAAACTCATAACATTAATGTAATGTTATTGTTACTTTATACTGTTTCCTTCATACTGTCATGTTTACAGAGAATCGACACGTTGCCTTCGTAATACCTAAACTGTTCAAAACACCATAAATACCACAAAAATGAGATTATTTTCTAATCTTCATCTTTCCGTTCTTTATGCGACATGAATGCACATCTCTCAGAACGTGTTTAAAGCTCATGCGGGTTTTAAAGAGTGAGAATGGAGATAGATAGCGTGGCGCGCGAGTGCACCAATGAGAGCGTCGTAGTAACACCTGTCATTCGTACCCACCCAATGAACCAATTCGCGAACCAACTCGACGGCAGCGCACCACTGGCGACCTTGTAATGAACTTAGCGAAGCAATGGCGGCCGAGCCCCGGTGGTTTGTCGTTAAATGTCAAACGCCAGTGAAAATCGCAGAGTAGCGAATCGTCGGTGACATTCCGGTCACAGAGATGGCCGCGAAAGAGCCGGACGCGATCGACGACGGCATCGCTGAGCCGGGTATCGAGCCCGGCGCTTCCACAGAGACGATGCTCGTCACTACCGACAGCTTCGACGAGTATGAGCAGGAGATGAGCAGCAGCATTGATGACAGGCAGATGAAGGAGAGCACTACCAGCACCATCTCCGAGATCCAGGAAGACTCGCAGAACATTCCGACAACACCTACCGCTGTTAGCCCGCCGGAAGCCGAGAAAACTCTACCTCTTGATGACTCCGAAATGGTATGTTTTCATAACCTTTTTCTCCGGTCATCACCGGATTTGCCGTTGGGTGGACTTTGAGAACGATTCTCTAGTTATTGCTTGGACGTGTGAGATGCTTCTATTGTCATTGCTGTTTTTCAGGATGATGTGACACACTGTCTGAGTCTGAGTAGTCTGGATGGAGATCCGTTGCACTGCAAGACCTGGTTAGCCCAAAGGAAACATATCTTCATTCTGAGTCAGGCGGGCAAGCCTATATACTCTAGATACAGTTCAGAGGACAAGCTAGTCACTCTTATGGGGGTCATGCAGGCTTTAGTATCATTTGTGCAAGATGGCAGCGATATGATTAGGTCGGTGCATGCAGGCAACACAAATTTTGTCTTCGTCGTTAAGGGCCCGTTGATCTTAGTGGCGGTATCCAAAACTTTGGAGAGTGTACCTCAACTTACTTTACAGTTAACGTATGTATTATTTGATATATATATTTTTTTTTTGTATATTCAATGAGATATTTTGAGTCTGTATTTCATGTATTTGGCATAATTGTTTCCAGATATGTATATAATCAGATAATCTCTGTATTGACACAGTCTCAACTGAACAGAGTATACGATCAAAGGAGGAACTTTGATCTACGGAGATTATTAACTGGTAGTGAAAGACTGATAGATCATTTATTAAATTTTATGGATAGGGAGCCAGCTTTTTTTTTAGGGGCTATTAAATGTTTGCCCCTACTACCCTCTATGAGAAGTTCGATTACGCAGACCATTATTCAAACGTGTGCTAAGATCAAGGTAAAAGCCTTATAGAGAATACTTGGGAAAAGCACTATCTCCCTCCAGTACACAGTTGTTTTATTGAAAACAAAAATTATATCTTTCAGAATTTAGTATTCGCGATACTTCTAGCTAACAACCAGCTGGTGACGCTGGTTAGGATGAATAAATTTTTCCTACATCCAATGGATCTACATATAATACAAAATCTGGTAGACAGCTCCGAGTCGCTTAAGACAGCTGAGAGCTGGACACCGATATGTCTACCGAAATTCGATCCAAATGGATATATGCACGGTCACGTTTCCTATCTGGCGGAAGATTGCCAGGCATGTTTGTTATTACTCACCGTCGATAGGGACGTGTTTTTCGTATTATCGGAAGCCAAACAAGTAAGAGTGATAAATGAGGCAATATTGATCGAGAAACGAAACCGTTTTGTGCGAGTAATGCGAGAATTGCTTCGTAGAAAATCGTGGAAAAATTGCGGCGGACAAATTGTTTAGAGGCGATAAACGAGTCCATGAATAAGCCAACGATTACGACCGCCGATATTGGGCTGCCTGAGATGCGACACGTATTGTACAAGTGCAAAAGCACCGCGCAATTTTGGAGCCCTGGGCTTCAGCCTCCTTATACTACGGAGGAGGAAGTAGAACGGTAAGATTAAATAAGATTAAATGAAATATTCCTTTGATAAAGATCAATGTACTAATGGCGGTTTATTTTCAGATTGCTGGGACTTTATCAGTGTTTACATCATAGATTACATTCACCTAGTCGACCGTTGAAGCTTATATTTCAACAACTAGACAAGGAAACGATGTTGGCATGGGTAAGAAGAAAAAGTATACACAACTTGATCACATAATATAGATTTTCCCTCCAAATAAAACATGTATCTTTTCTAGGTGGCTTCCGGTTTCGAATTATACGTAACATTCGAGCCTCTGGTGACGAAACCAGACGCTATTGAGGCAGTCAGCAAGCTGTTAAAGTGGATCAAAAAAGAAGAAGAGAGATTATTCATCTTGAATTCGCCTACGTTTTGAATATCATCAGATACTACTTGGACGTGTATATGAGTGATATACTGGCAGTGATGTGTTGGAAGCGTTTACCGAAAGACCAAACATAATCCGAAAACGTTCGAGATATATTACAAGAGGGATTCCAAAGCAAAACGTTTTCGCAATAGTTTTCAAGTGCAAGAATATAGTTATTATTCGTCCATTGTTATTGGTAACAATGCCATTCACTATTTTTTTATTTAATAGAGCTGTTATAATATAACGTAAGTTTATAAAAATGTACATATATTCAAATATCTTACACGAACGCGCTCCTGATGTAATATTATACACTATAATTTTCATACCAAAATCATCCTCCTCCCGCACGTGATTCACCGGGTACTAAATACATTCAAATAACACTGAAAATAAGAAAGAGTGGACAAAGTTATTTGTTTATTATCAGTTATACTTCGTCTCTCGATTTATCCAATTTTTGTATTCCATGTAAACAATGCTTGATAAAAAGTCAGATTTCTCGTATTTGAATAGTTCAATGCCTAGCTCTATCACGTTCTCTTCTCCGATCCCGGTCTCTTTCTCTCTCTCTCTCCCTTTCTCTTTCACGGTCGTCTCTCCTGTGACGATCTCTGTCTCTCTCTTTATCCTTGTGCGACGATGAGTGTGATTTCGGCGATTTGCTGCGTTTGCGCTCTCTTCTATCTCTGTCCCGCTCCCTACTTCTCGATCTTTGCTTCTCCTTCTCAGATTTCTTCTCAGATCGAGAATGCCTCTTATCTCTGTCTCTATGGCGATCTCTATCGCGCTCGTGATCGTCTGGCCTTTTGCGCGGTGCTTCTTTACTTTGTGGAACCTCTTCATCCTCTGACGATTCAATACCATCGTCCATGTCATCTTCCAACGCTGATATCTTAGCCTCTATCAAACAAAATTGGATATATTTATAAAGAAGTTCAAGCAGAGAAAACAGATTAATTAATTTAAAGCATAAATTACCCAGTTCATTATTCTCTTCTAGAACATGTCTCTTTTGAATTCTTGGTAAGATAACATCGCAACATCTCTCTTCCCTGAGAAGATTGTCAATGAATTCGTCCATATGTATTAGCTCATATATGCCCTGCTTGTTTTGTATTCTAAGTTTCCTGTTGTCATTGAATAACGGCTCCAAATATTTGTAACAATCCAAGGAAGAACCAGTCAATCTCATGTAAAGTGCACCCAAAGCACGAACATATTTAAACTCTTCGTTCTTTATGAACTCGACTATAATATCCTTCTCAGGTTGTATTTGCAGCATTTTCAATATAAGGCAAAGAAATGGTGTTGGTTTCACATTGCCACCGTACACCCCTCCTAGAAATCTAAAAATACAGATAATAAATATGATTAATTCTAATATTGCATATCAATAATCTTTATTTAGAAAAATAAATGTTTACAATTGAAACTGTAGAAAATTAACACCGGCAAGAAATATTCACAAAGGTTATATTTTGCTAATTCTAACCTCAACTCCATCGCCTTGTCGACTAACAATTCGGCTGTTAAAGCGAAACATTCTTCCTTCCAATATTTGGAATCGTATATTCGAGACCTGATGATTTTTTCTACCAAATATTGCGGATTTGTACCTCGAATAGATTTAGCATCTTTTACCGTGCGATTCGCCATTTTCGAATGTTTTGGCCTGTGAATTAGTGCAGCAAGAAATATTAAGGCCTTCACACACACTTTCCGTAACAGTAACCGTAAGACGTAACGTCAGAATTGACCAATTACGATGGAGTATTCACAAAAATGGCGATCTTATGTTTCGACGATTCTCAACGTGATTGGTCAATTCTTACGTTACGTCTTACGGTTACTGTTACGGAAAGTGTGTGTGAAGGCCTTTACAGCGGCTACGGACGCAAGTGAGCAGTTACTTTAGAGTCCCTATAAGGGTGCGTTCAGATTCCCTACCCAGGTGCACTCTGTTACTAGAAACACTATAGTGATTGCTTTCCAACAAGAGACACAAGTCGACATAAACATCATTTTATTTTTGCTCCACATTTAGTGAGTAACAAAGATAGGATGATACTTGTGTCGACTTGTATCTCTTGTTGGAAAACAATCAGTATTTGTTAAGCCCGTATCAGACTGTAGATTAGAATTAAGATTGAATTGAAATTTAGCCAATCAGAGCAAAATTTACTAAGCTCAAGTTTGGTAAACTTTGCCCTGATTGACCAATTTTTTATTTAATCTCAATCTTAATCCGTAGTCTGATACAGACTTTAAAGGCCAAATCACACTAGCAATTGATGATTGACGATTGATGATTAAAGATTAGATTTTAACGAATCAACAAGCTTCAGTCTTGGCTTGCTTTGTTCTAATTGGTCAAGTTCCAATCTTCAATCGTCAATCATCTATCGCAAATCGTTAGTGTGATTTAGCCTTTAGATAGAGTCTGGCTACGTGCGTGTTCCTCTTTATTAGTCGAAACAAGGTTTGGAAAAACATGGAATCAATAGAAATTGTCATGGGAAGCGGAATAATTTGAAAAGTAAAATAAGAAAATTATGAACAATTAGTAATCCTTTATATTAAACTGTGAAATGAATAAATAAAAACATAATTTTGATTGTAAACTTGAAACATTATTAATTTGCAGGAAACGAATACAGTAAAAAGGCTTTCTGATAATAGTTCTGATAATAGTTATAGCATTGTAGAACACAACATGTTGGCATTTTGAGATCTGAAAATTCATATTTCGTATTGCACTATTTTACACAATTGCCTTTTCAGATACTGTTCTGAATAAAACGAGGTTACGAGGTTACGATGACAATTTATATAATGAATACGACTTTTTTTATAATATCACAATTTTTAACTGACTTAACTTTTTTATTTTACTTCGAAAACCACATACAGAATAATTTTACTTACTTCTATTAACAATTTATAATCAAACTGATACTGGTATTTATCGCGTTACGCGATAAATACCAGTTGCGTTCATATAAGGTGTTTTTTCATTTTGTGACCACCGTAGCGTTAAGTGGACCAAACTAACCAAACGCTACTGTGGTCACGAAACGAAAAAACGCCTATATATACGGCCGCCAATTTTTCCAAAACTAGCCGAGTGACCAGACTCTATTTTATAGGGACTCTAGCGCCCAATTCTGTCTACTAAAATCAAGCTGGTGACTGCTCAGGTTTCTCTCTGGTACCAGAGAGAAACATATTGCGGCCCAAACTGTATGTGTCGTGCCGCGGATATCAACCAATACCACCGACGAGATACTCTTGGGTTGCGTTCCAAAATTCTACTCGGTGGGTAGAGTACATTTAGGTTGCTTTCCAACAAGAGACACAAGTCGACACAGGGTGCTTTCCAGTTACGTTTTGTGTGTTACACAAAACCAGTTTATTGGTTGTATATTATCTTACAAGATATTTTAGATAATATGTGACCAATAAATTGGTTTTGTGTACGTATGTGTCAAGATGTATTAAGCAATTGGAAAGCGCCCACAAGTATCATCCTATCTTTGTTACTCACTAAATGTGGAACAAAGATAGAATCATGTTTGTGTCGACTTGTGTCTCTTGTTGGAAAGTAACCTTAATTGGTCAATTATGATAAAGAAATCCTAATTATCTTTGTTCTTATTAGTCAATGAAATACTACTCTACCCGTCGAGTAGAGTTTTAGAACGCAGCCTTAAAGACTGTCAACCTTGGGTAAATTTTCGACACGGCCAAAGGGTCCGGAGGGTCCCGGAAGTAATTGAAGAACGATGACAATATTGACCATTTCTCATACAAAGCGCTTTTGTCTGTCCGTGTGACTACCCTTATCCTAAAAAAAAAGTGAAATATAAAATGTACGGTGAGATTTCTCCGTATCGTTAAAGCCCGTAAGGCCGACGGTCTTTTCTAATACCTCGTCGGTGCCAATACTCATACTTTTTCTCAGTAGATAACAGATAAAATCATTTCAAGGTAATTTAGCCGAGATGCAAACCCAAAGATTTGAGTCTTCGCTAGTGAAGTTCTAAATGGTTTGTGTCTCAGCTAAATCGATTTTGGCTAAAATTTAGTAGAGTAAAGGCACTAAAAGCGACATACCACTTTGTTTTTGGATGTTATGTCTTAATATAAAACTCAAAATATAAATGTAAATATATATACATACATGTAGTTGGAAATACCTCTTATCAGATAATATCACGTTTTTACTGAAATTTCTAGACTTAAAATAAAAAATATTTTTGTAAAACGCATGAAAATGGAGTTAAAAAAATAGCGACATACCTATTGGAATTTATATAATATGTCGCATATATGATAATATTTGATAATAAATAGTTCATTAATGTGTTTAATGGTTAAATATTTATTTATTCAAAATATAATGTTACAAAAGGGAAATATAATTAAATAAATACCCCGACAGCACACAATATTTATGATAAAGATTCATAAATATTTATGTCGAATTATTTTTTAAAAATATTATATAAATATTTTATAAATATTTCTATACATAAAGAATAAAGTATCAAAATCTTTATTCAAAATATTATTAAAATATAGACTAAATATTTTATACAATATTTATAGTAAATAAAAAATAAATATTTGTAGTAATATTTTGTAAATATTTCTATAAATATAAATATAAATCTATGATATAAGTATAAATAGTATACATAAAAAAATAAATGTAATTATTTAAAATTATTAAATTAATGAAGAAATAAGAAAATCGAAATTTAAATTGGTAATGTATGAACAAAATTCTTTAAATCAAAGAAATATATTTATTAAATATAATTTTTTAACTTAAAAAAATATTTGTTAGATTTTAGAAAATATATAATAGATATAAAGTAATATTTTATTAAATTTGTAAAATGAGCTGTAAAATGAATTTCTAGAAAAAAAAAATGATTTCTTTACAAGAAGAAAATTAGTTTTTTTAATGTAAAAACTGTGTTTAAATAAATATTTGCTTGTTTTAAAAGTAAATGAAATACAAGTTAATCATTGTATAAATCTATATAAATTATTTTCTAATATTCAAAGTATCTTTTTCGTGTTTCAAATTAAAGTTTCTTTTATTATCAAAAAACAATTTATTTAAATTTACAAACTGATTTGTTTATATTTTATTTACTTTTAAAACAAGTAAATATTTTTTAAATATACTTTTTACATACTTTTTAAACATACTTTTTACATTTAAAAGAATTTATTCTCTTCTTGTAAATAAATCATTTGTTTTCGTACATGGATATACCATATGTATACAATATAAAGCGTCTTTCAGTCAAAGTGACGCAGTAGGTAAGGTGAACGACTCAAGAACCAGAAGTCTCAGGTTCGAATCTCGGCAATTATAAGCAAATTTTCGAAGTACATTTTAACTTGAATTAAGTAGCGTGTAAAATAATATAAAGTGAAAACTAAGAACATATACATTTAAAAAATTTTTTAAAAGTTCAGAAAAGAGAAAAAAGTATATAAATGTATACATTTTAATAAATATTTTTATAATATTTATGATAAATATTTATGATTTATTGATTTATTGAAACTAAAGTCATAAAAATATCTATGAAATATTTTGGTAAATATTTATAAAATATTCAAATAAATCTTATAAATATTTTGTAAATATTTTATAAATATTTGGTGCTGTCTGGGATATATTTTTTTCCATCTTTTTCATTTTCTCACATATTTTACATGTTATATTTTTAAACTAAATAAAATTAAATTTTAAAATAAACAAATGTCATATCACAACGGGAGGTTATTAATCAAGTTATGTTAGTTACAGATCGCACCTATTGCATACTGTAGGAATGTCACTTTAAGACACATTCTCATAAAATTGTTCAAATTATACAGTAAAAAAGTGATGAAGGTAAAAATATTAAAAAAATATTTTTACAAAAGTCAAATGCATGTAGAAGAACTTAATATTGAACAAAATGATAATTATCGCTATTTAGTCTACGTAATTCGTCAATAAAAATCATAGAAGTAAAACTTACGAATTTGTAAAACTCGATATTTACTAATTTAGCATATAAAGGAACAAGAAATATACCAAGTATGAATTTTCTATGACTTAACTGATAAAACGGATTACGTTTATATTAGTTTCAATAAAATACAACATTTAATATATGAGATATAAAGATATGTCGCTTTAGGAAGCCTATGTCGCTTTTGGCTACTTTCCTCTAAATTATTTAACCGAGACTTAAATAATTTTAAACTTATTTAAGCCATAGTTTGTGTGTTGGCTAAACTGAATTTCAGAGATTTTTGTTCAAAATCATAAAAAAATCAGTTTGCTAAGACTTATACTTTTTAAAATAATTTTGAAAATAAAATTTTAATTTTTTGTTCATTTGATATTTGATTTTGTTCATTTGATATTCAAACTTTTTTGATATTTCATAAATTTCAGACGAGGAAGTAGATAATAAACCAGAAAGATAATTGGATTTCAAATGACCTTTTGTTATATTGCATAATATAATCTAATATAAAATATGAAATAATAACATATAATAAATAATACGATCTAAAATATTTAAAGATCTTCATAGATTTTACGCAAAGTTTTATAATGGATATGATGTATATATTCGGATAGATCGTCTACTTTTAAGTAATTTTTGGCTTGTCCAATGGTACAATTTGTTTTCCAATTCTCCTAGACGGATGCCTTCTGAAACTTATACAGAAATCTTATTTGTCTGCGAGAATACATTAGATTTTTATTTGACATCCACTAGATAAATATTTGTTGAAAGTATGGATGTTTTATGAATGTCTAATTGATATTGTATTTCATATGAAACATTTGTTCATGTGGAACTTTTTCTTTAATTTATTTATAATACTTGAATATATCACGTATTTGATAGATTTGCTTATCTCAGGATATAATAGGAAATATTATAAATAAATTTATTGTGCAAATTCTTAGCTGTTTGATCTGTCTTCAACTTCGATAACTATAATAAGATAACAGCGCTTTTAAGTTTGCGTTATACATTTTCATGAAAAAAATTAAAATAAAAAAGAAACTCATTGCGGAAAGTTTTATTTGCAAATGTGAAAATTTATATATATTATAGAACTACAATATCTTTATAAAAATAAAAAAATGCGTGGAATTTGTTATCGATGAAATTTATTATAAGAATTATAATGCGAACACACTAAAACATAAGACATAATATCTCGAATCCACGACGTAAAGGATTCTACTGTAGTTTAAGAACAAAATCAAGCCGTTATATTAAGACAGAAAGATCGTGGATTTAACAAAGCCAGTATATGGCATGCCACCTTTTCGGTGTCACCTTTCTCTTCGCGGTTGCTCGGCGGGGTCCATAAGAGGCCATTCACGGCAGGCCCCTCTTTTCCGAGCCTTTTCTCTTTTATCTCTTTCTCTCCTTCTCTTCCCATCCTTGCCGCACACTCACCTGGCAACCTGAACTCACCTGAACGGCCATCTTGAGCTGCACCGTCATATCGTGCTCCTCGTCTTTCTCCCGCGAGTCGCATTTTCCGCTCGTCCTTGTAGGCGACCGCGTCGCATGCGCCGTTGCATGTGCAAGTCTCGTTGCAGCATAGTGATTGCCGGTAACATTCGTCGTTCCAATCGTGCTTCCACCTGGTTCGCTTTCTCCACCTTTACGTATTCCTTTGAAGCCCTGTGTTTTTAGTGACGTCACTAATATTCTCTTACGGAGTTTTTCGTGAAGCAAGGAAGTGTGTCAGTTACTTTGGTGAGTTGGATTCTTCACGACGTATACTATGAGCTGATGTGTGTTACGCGCGTTAGTATTCGTTATTATATTTACAAATAAATTTCACCGGTAACATAAATTCCACGTGTTTCTTTCTTTAGATTTTTTTTAGATTACATAGATATTGCAGCTCTGTAATATAGATTCCTATTTGCGTCACAACTGAAAATTACGATTACGTAATAAGACGACTAATACAAAATGAATCGTCAAATCGAGGATGTATTTTTTACGGAAATATGTCAATCTAATTTTTAATTGTTTTTAAAATTCGATCCTGTCAACAGGTGAGACTCAAGATTCCGTTCTCCGTTCCGGGCAGAGTTAGAAGAAACGACCGGTGTGTCGCTTGCGTGGAGGAAAGGTGCGATCTAACCGGTGAACGTAGCTGAACGTTCAGCCGCACGTAAATGTCACGGACGACGTCGCCGACTGTCTGATTGCGGATACGATCGTGCGATTGTTTTACTACTCCGGAGTGTGCGGTGAGGGATCGGCGATGAGGGAACAGCCGGGAAGCGAAATCAAATAACCGACCGGTCGCTAATCCCCGCTGATCCTGGAAGAGACTTGTGTCCGCGAAGGGAAGAGAGCGCGGATTTAATCGCGAAATCGTGTCGCGTCGCGACATGCGCTCGTCGTTAGCGCAGCGAAAGTATTGTTCTTTGTTCGCCAAGTTTCCCCTGAACGGACTATTCGCGTGACTCGCGTGTCTTGCACACAACAGTCTTATTGTCGTCCAACAATTGGACGATGGAGAGTAACTTCTAAGATCGACGACCTTTTACCGACGCTCCACGCGTCGCAGAAGAATCGACGTAGTCTCGGGTAGATCGGCGATTCCTTCATATCGCTGTGACGTGTGCGGTTGATTTGCGTGCGGTTAATGTCACAATCGAAAACGATTTCACGAAGGAAAAATCGCGCAAACGACGGACGAGTTCGCCTTGACGATCACGACGAAGGAATTGGTAACTTTGCGATACCGAGATGGGTTCAAAGATAGAGTACGTCGAGTCCTCTCACATGTACGCGACCAATTACATCCGCAACTCCAAGGCGATCGGAGTGTTATGGGGTATCTTCACCATATGCTATGCCATTATCGGTGTCGTCGCTTTCGTCACACCGGAATGGCTGGGCGATCTCGAGCACGAAAATCCCGGAAGATTTGGTCTGTGGACCAGATGCAGCTACGGCGGCAACGGTATGTTCGCGACGCACCTCTTTTCTATCCTCTTTTGCAACACCAGAGGACATATCTCGATTTTCTTTTCAATTTTAATATTTTAACGTCCAAAAGAAAGAATTCTAATTGCAAAGTATTATTTACCATAATCTCATATTCTAAGTGCAAACTTTCACTGAAAAAATATTTCTTTTCTAATGAAGAATACTTTCTTCTTTTAATTTTAGAAGAATCTTCTTAAAATTATATATATATATATATATATATATATATATATATATA